ATTTGGTAGTGCAACTCCTTATCACTTGGCTACCAGAGTTTTCTATAACACCGCTAAGAGCCTATTTAAACTAAAAATTTGCATGCAATCTAATAAACCACTTTTTATTTCCTTAAATTTTCAACATTTTCCTGCTTATGAATCCTTGTTATCTCTTATTACTACTGTCTATAACTTTTTTTTTTTTTTAATGGGAAGCCCCTTAGCTTTCATTGTATCAGGACCTGCCACTCTGGGGTAAAGAGTCTGCCTGTACTAAAAGGGGCAGCAGAATGATAAGACTTATTGCTGCACTTGTCAATATGACCATTTATAAAAATACGGGGAAAGTAGTGACTGTGGGACAAACAAGATGGCAATTGCATTTGTATAAGGATTTGGCATTATCTCCTAAACTGCACTGTAAGAATTTGAGAGCACATTGTTTGGTGTTGGAGGCAAAACAGAAGGGCAGTTAGAGGACAGAATATTATTCATCTTCCTTCAGCAGAGCAGCTGGTGAACCAGAACTGTGTGCCTTTGGGATTACAGCACAGCTTCCTGTCACCAGGCCACCAGGATTCTTTATGTTCACAAGGCAAATAAAGCTAGAACAATGAACAAAGTCACCACCTGGAGGAATTCTAGCAGGAGGAAGCTCAGGGACCTGGTAAGAGGATCCAGAGAGACCACTATACATTGGGTGCTGAGCAGACAGTATTCTGTGGCTGGCATTGGGTATATCCAGAATAGAACCAGTAGGAAGTATAGGTTTCAAGGAAAAGAAAAAATTCTATCACGTAACCAAAATTAATTCTGCAGAAGGAAGAGGGGAGAACAAGTCTGTCTTGTGCCAATGTTTCACATAAATAAAAACAAAATATTTTTACCAGGATAGACTAATTATTACTAATATAAACCAATTTTAAATTTGAGAATTTTATTCCTAGTATTATTCTCATTTTCTGTGAACCACAGTGGTCTCTTGTATAGTTCCATCAGGTCCTTTCATAGCATAACCAAGACAAAAGCTTCCTTTTCCAAGTGATCCATCAGCTGAGGCCCTGTTACATAAGACATAGCATTCTCATTTTTTATTAATGATGCTTTCTGCTCATCTCTCCTCTTTTATTCATACAGCAATATTTCATTCATTACTCTTTATTTTTAAATAGAATATGGTGTGGCCAGTAATTTTTCTAAATAGAAAATTCTACAAATGACTCTAGTAAATTTAACTCATAAATTGATATGAAGATACTACTTTTAAGTCATCATATTCATAGACCAATTAAAAAAATATTATCATCTCCGTAGATGCTAAAATGCCCTTTAGTAAAACGCAACATGCATTTCTAATCAAGAGGAAAACTTGATAGGCCTAAATACGTATCTCCTATTAACAAAATAAATGTGTATCAGGTCAAAAGCCATCATCATGCATTATAAATATTAAGAACTTTCATTAAAAATCCAGTTAAAGTTAAGAATAAACAAACAACTCCATCTTTCAATGAGCTACAAAATGTAGGGGCAGGGTTGGGTGGTGTTGGTGAGGAATCTATCAATACTCATTTGATTTTCTTATGCCAGAGAACAGGGGAGTTGGGGGAACGTGGGTGGATTCTTTTTAAAGCACTGTTCTTGATCATTCCACCTGCTACCCATATGTCAGCTTGCCATTTTGTGGAGGCTGGTATGTTGCTATGATTCTAGAAGGTATGAAAATGATATTTCAAGTACTAACAAAATCATCTGTCGAGGGCAGGTTTCAGGAGAGTTTTCAGATTAAGAGATTAAAAAGAGAGCCCTTACGACCAATTTAAATTAAAAAAAAAAAAAAGACCCAAGAGTGGACAAGTGTTATATCATGTAGACAACTTACAAAACCCCAGAATTATGAAAGATTAATAAATGTATAAAAAGATGCCAAATCTAATTCACAATTAAATGGGGGGGGGGAGAAAAAAGACATTTCTCCCCTCCCCCATCTATTAGGTTGGTCTGGAAGTAGGAGTAGCATCCACTTCCTAAACAACATGCCTCTAGAAACTCTATGAACTTTGATAAATGACGATAGTTATAAAAAGGCTTCAGGCCTTTTGTTCATGGGGCTGCTATGAGTCATGCTCGACTTGAAGGCAATTAACAACAATTAGGTTGGTAAAGATCAGTGTTTGAAAGCACAGTTCTGTTGAGTGTAAACTGGTACATCTTTGGAAGGCAGAGTCACAGTATCAAAATTTAAGAACACATAAATTGTGATAGTCTTAGACTTTCCCTGACCACTTTATCAAAAATATATCTTCATTACTATCTCTAGCTCTTTGTTTTCTGCATATTATACTGCACTTTGTAATTGTTTGTCTATTAACTTTTTTTTGTCTAACTAGTAGACTGTGAAATTAAGTAACTTGTTTCTAACTCCAATATCTGCCATGGTGACTTGCATATGGAAAGCACCTTATCTTGACAAAATTGTGTACCTGATTCAATAATTCCACTTCTAGATATTTCTAGACAACCCAATATTTTTTAACCTAATAATTCCACCACTAGAGGAATATGCTACTGATCTTATCTTTGTTAGAGTTCTCTAGAGAAAATGGAACTAGTGATGATAACATTTACTTCAAGTAATTGACTCACACAATTGTAGTGGGCTAGCAAATCTCAAATTCATGGGAACTAGATGGAGACTCCTGCAGACTTGAATCCCAAAATCCATAGGTCAAATTGTTAAAATTTAAACAATGAAAGTATCTGGGGAAAATGTCTATTTACAGATTGGAGAGAGAATACACCCTTGAGAAATTCTTTTTCTCATAAGGTCTTTAACTGATTGAGGCTCACTCCCTTTATGGAAGATCATTTGCTTTATTTAATCACATGTAACAAAATCAGTAGCGTTTTACCAAACAATTGGACACCATAACCTAGTCAACTGGACACAAGATTATCACAGATACACCTTCAGACACCCATAAAGATATCCACTACACTAATGTGTAATAGCAAAATACAAGTAATACCTTAAACATCTAATACAGTCCTTCCAAACAATGGAATTGCATCACATAAAATAGTGAGGTACTAGGGGTGGTCAGGGAGAAAAGTGCAACAATGAATGACTGGAAACCCTAAGTCTCTGTAAACATTCATTAAAATGAATTTTTTAAAAAATACATTAAAAAAGTGAGGTACTGAATAAAATCTAAAGTATTTGTTACGTGCCACTAAATCACCTGCAACTCATAGTGGCCCTATGTACAACAGCTCTAAACTCTGCTCTATCCTATGCCAATGTTATTTTTTTAAAGATGGTTTCTTTCTAAAAGCAGGAAATAATACATTACTAGTGTTTTCCATCTCTTTGGGGAAAATCTCAAGCCAGTATGGTCTGGTGTCAAAAACACATACTGGGGTGAGGGTATTCTTTTACATCCCATCTCTATGTCAGGTTCAAGGAGCCCAATCATTCACATTATGGGACTTACCAGGATGCTGGACCTTAAAAACAGTTATTCAAATAAGACAGCTTGGTTACTACTAAACTAAAAAAGGTTCAGATAGATGTCCCTGGATTTAGGATTTCATCATACATCATGAGCTGTCTTCTCTAGCAGTGGTACCTGTCAGTAAACTCTCTGATCTGAATGTGTTCTTCTGACCTTATGCCCTCTCCATGCGACTTACTAAATGCCTCTTCCTTCATACCTTCTCATTTTTTTCTTTCATCTCCTAACCCAGATGTCCTAACCTACCTTCAAAGGAATCTTTTTTTTTTTTTTAATGGATAAACTCAATGGCTTCTTCAATCAGGATCTGAATGCTAATAATCAACATCAAGTTTTTCTTCAACACATGTAGTTTTTGTTCTAAAATAATTTAAAACTATAGTTAACAATTGTTGGTTGCCTGCTTTTTTTCTAACATCATCTTAGTTTTCATTCAGTTACCCACTCTTCCCCTATGTAGCCCCTAAACTAACCATACTTCTATTTCCACAGCAACAAGCACCTGTTTGAGGGGGGAGCACATGACCTTAGTTTCTGAAATTAATTCCAAAATACTTGCTTCAAATGCTACGACAAAAAAAAAAAAAATATGTGAACCAGACACATATACATTCAAACTCAATCGCTTTGGCAGGCATTTTGCTATATAAGGAAAATTAGTCTAAGGAAGTCAACTCATAGAAGACTGAGAAGTCCTACTAAAACCATGTAGAAAATCTGTCTTCCTGTTGTACTTTCCAGTCATACTAGCCAATAAAAGCACCTGGTTTTTTCTACCATCTGTTAATTATAACCAGAAGTACACTCTCCATTAACTCATTTCTCTTTGGAATTCTTAAGGAGCCCTGGTGGTGCAGTGGTTAAATATTTGGGTACTAACCAAAAAAAGGAAATGTATGCCGTTTGACTCCACCATAGGAGAAAAATGTTGCAGTATCCTTTGGTAAAGATTATAACCTTGGAAAGCCCATGGAGCAGGTAGTTCTACTCTGTACTACTGGTCACTGAGTAGAAAATGGCTTCTTAGCAATGGGTTTGGTTTTTAGGGCTCCATGAGGAAAGGAAGCCTGAAAAGACAGATGTCAGGGCAAGAGGTGGGGGTGGGAATGTGAAAGGGGTTGGGAAGATAAAGGAGGGATGGGGCCTGATGCAATGAACTTCAGTTTAAAAAACTGCCAAACTGTATCCTGCATTGTAGACACAGAACTTATGTACAGAGAGAAGCTACAGAACAAGTATTTCTTTGCTGGAAGAAGGATCAGGGATTAGAGCGAAAGTAGGACTTCATAGTGAATTTTCCCTCCTGTAGTCAGAATTTTTAAAAAATTTACATCATTTTTAGAGTTAAAAAAATAACCAAAAATATTTTCTTCACTAGAAGCTTACTCTTGAGTTTACTAATACAGTAGGTACTTTGGCACCATAAAGGCCTTTTAATATATTTGGGTCAATGATAACATTTGTTACTGATATTTTAAAAGTCTTACTACACAACAAAAGTCCTTATTTATCTTCTTTCCCCTTCGTCTTCCGATACACCATCTCTCGGAAACTGGCTAGAATCTTATTCTCTCTCTTCCGTCTCTCCTCTTGGTTAAAGGACGCAAGGGCCCTTTTCTCATCAGCACTGTAGATCTGGTTCTCCTTCCTGAGTCGTACAGCCTCCATTCTGCGATGTCTGCTCCCACTCATGACGTAACCTGAGCTTTCAAATGATGCTATCTCTTCACTTGTCAGCCCAATTTCTCCTCTTCGTGGAATACGCTTCCCAGCTTTCACATACTCTGCCATGGCTGCACCTTCACCTGGTAGCAGTGCATGTCCATAGTTCAAAGGCTTCTCGTCCTGAGAGAAGTATGTTACCGGTGCTTCTGGGCCTATTAAACCCGTGGTCTCCAAGACCTTTGACTGGTCAGTCCACATATTTTCTGGCAACTCTCTTTCTGAATCCTTACAAGTTAACTCATTGGATTCTTTTTTAGTCTTCTTCTTCTTTTTCTTGGTTCTGTGTTTCTTTTTCTTGACCTTTCTAGCTCTCTTTCTGTCATCACCAAAGCTAGAATTAGTGTCAGAGTCTGAATTGCTGTCACTATTATCAGAATACCGCCCACGTTTTCTTTTGGATGACTTTTTCTTTCTTCTTCTCTTGTTTTTTGAATGACTGCTCTTTTTCTTTTTCCCTTCTTCCTGGCTCGAGTCTGAACTGCTGCTCTTCTGGGTCTTGACTTCATCTTCAGCGGGGGTGTGTTCATCAGAGTCGGGCTCAGGGTATTTTGGTGACAGTCCCCATACCTCGCGGGCTCCCAGCTCCCCAATCCTCTCTCTCTCTTTCAGCCTCCTCTGCCTGTAATTCTCCTCCTGTTCGCTGTCTTCAGCCCAGTACCGGTATCCGGTATAGGGCTGGGAATGGTACCGGTGTCCGCCACAAGAGACAGACGAGGAGAATGAGAAGACGTAGTTGTGAGGCCCAGGGGGTCGTTCCCGCGCCTCAGCGCGTCTAAGAGTGTAAGCAGCACTGACTCCGGATCCACCCCCCTGAGGCCTGAGGTCCTCACGGGACAGGGAGCTGGAGCCACCACTTCGAGGGTGGCGTCTGTCCGTCAAGGGGCTTCCCGACGAACTGCGGCTGCGGCTGCGTCTCCGAGAGCCTGCGGAGTGCTCGGGATAGCGAGACCGAGACACGGGAGCCATGAGCCATAAATGGTGATTTTACAGGTGACTTACGGTTACTCCAATGGCCGAAGCAAACAGCAGCAGTACCCGCGAGCGAACTACAGTTTGGCGCTCGCGACCTCCGCTTCCGGCCAGATGGGAGGAGGGGCAGACGACCCCGCATGGGCGGTGGGGATAGTCTGTCGGGAGATGGGAGGGGCTTGTTCCCTGAGACAAGGCTTCTTCCTTGTTTTTGGTTGTGTACCAGAGTCACTCTCGGCACCAGTAGCCAGGAAATTTAAAGGTGCATTGCCATGAGAAAGTCGGCTGTTTCCCATGTACTCCCATGTTTCCCATGCTCCAAAGTACTGAAGAGCAATGGTGTTTCTCTGGAGCCTAAGGTGCGTTTGATACAGGCCATGGTCTTCACAATCACTTGTTATGCATCAGAGAGTTGGACAGTGACTAAGGAGGTTAGAAGGAGAATTGATGCCTTTGAGCTGTGGTGCTGGAGAAGAGTATTTAGGTACCATGGACTGCTAGGAAAACAAACAGATTCATCCTGGAAAGGGTTAAACCGGGCGGCTTCCTGGAGGCAAGGATTCTGAGGCTCCATCTGACATACTTTGGAAATGTTGTAAGGAGGGACAGGTCCTTGGAGAGGGACATCATGCTTGGTAGGGTGGAGGGACAGCGCAGGAGGGGAAGGCCCTCTATGAGGTGGATTGATTCAGACTGGGGTAATCGGGATGGGTGTGTCAGAGACAGTGCGATTGGCACAGGACAGAGCAGAGTTTAGGGGCTGTTGTTTAGGGTCGTTATGAGTCGCCGGTGACTCGACGGCACATAACAACGACAACAACAACCATCGAGTTGGAACTGACTCACAGCTGTTGTGTACCATAGAGTCAGAACTGACTCATAGTTTACTCTCCATCCGATTTTCAGAGGCTGTTAACTACATGGGAGGAGATAGCCCTTCCTTCTCTCCCTGAACGGCCAATGAATTTGAGCCTTTGTGATTGCAGCGCACTCTTTTGTTGTTGTTATGTGCCGTCGAGTCGTTTGCGACTCATAGCGACCCTATGTACAACAGCCCTAAACCCTGCTCTATCCTGTGCCAATTGCATTGCCTCTGACACACCCATCCCAATTACCCCAGTCACTGAGTCAATCCACCTCATAGAGGGTCTTCCCCTCTTATGCCATCCCTCCACCCTCCCAAGCATGATGTCCCTCTCCAAAGACCTGTCTCTCCTTGCAACATGTCCAAAGTATGTCAGAGGCAGTATCTCTAGAGGCAGTTTAATCCCATGGGAGGAGCCTTTCTCCTGCGGAGCAGCTGTTGGGTTGTCTTCTGTATTACAGCGCAATTTCATATCTTTAGGCCACCAGAGCTTCTATGAATCATAACGACCCTGTGAATAACGGATCTGAACCTTGTCCTGTCCTGTGCCATCTTCATCATCCCTAATATGCTTAAGGCCATTGCTACAGTTAATGTGTTGATCCATGTCGTGGAGGGTCTTCCTCTCCTTTGCTGATCCTACCCCTCCTTTCCAAGCATGACATCCTTTTCCAAGGACTGGCCCTCCAACAGCATGCTCAAAGTATCTGAGACACATAGGAATAAAATACTCATAGAACAACATCAAGGAATCCGCTTAAATAAATGCAAATGAAGTTAATTAATACGTCCATTGTCAGAGTAAAAAACGGCCTCTAGGCTGGAACCCCCAAACAGGACACATTCTTTTATTATTGGATCATGACCTAAAGAAGTAAGAATTACAAATTTTTTTAAGTTTTTTATTTTTTTTTTTTTTTTTTTTTTTTTTTTTTTGTGTGTGTGTACCGTCAAATCAGATCTGACTGGTACAGGAGGAGATTGTCCCTCCTTCTCCAGCAGAGCATCTGGTGGATTCGAACCGCGTACCTCTAAGAATTACAAAATTCTTTACTAACTGGAAGATCATCAAGGGAATAAAAGTGAGCTATCTAGAAGTGAGAATTTGACAGCAGTAACCCATACGTGAGATTACCTTCCTAGTCAAAGGCACATACCATTCCGTTTAGTACACTGTGGTCCCAGGGCTGCTCACCCATCAGGTGTTTCCCACTAGACAATACACAACAACAGCATTCTTCTTCCAGGGAGCCAAGTTGTGCGTTTAAGCAAAAGCTGGACATTTCAGGTAATTTGACTCCACCTGTGGTTCCGGGAGAAAAATGAGCAGTCTCCTATAGTAATTTATAGCCTTGGGAACACAATAGAGGGTGGGGGGTGGGGTGTGTCCTGTAAATTGGAACTGTCTCCAAGGCAGTGAATTTTGAGCTATTCTGTCTCCAGAATGGTGTTTAATCAAACTAACACAGTCCTGGACTTGTCTATGCCAAGAAATTTGGAAGATACTTGGCCAGCTGACTGGAAGAGATACTTATTTGTACCTATTCCAAAAATAAGTGATACAAAAGAATGCAGATATTATCAAACAATGTTATTAATATTACACACATGTAAAATCTTGATGAAAATTATTAAAAACAGCTGGAGCACTTCCAGAAATTGAAGCTGGATTCAAAAAAGATTGTGGAATGGGGATATCGTGGATGATGTCAGATGGATTTTTGACTGAAAGTAGAAAATTCTTGAAAGATGTTTATTTGTGTTTACTGTGAGGGTCATAAAAAAAATCAGTGATAACATTTAGAAAAAGGAGAATTCCAGAACACTTCCTTTTTTGCATGTCAAAAATAGTCTGCCAGATGCTCCACTGGAGAAAGAAGGGCAAACTCCTCCTGTGCCAGTCGGATCCAATTTCAGGGTACACCAAATTAAAAATAAATAAAATTTTTTTTTAAAAGAACATTCAAAAGAACAGAGAGATACTGTATGGCTTAAAATCAGGAAAGATTTGTATCAGGGTTGTATTCTTTCACCATACCTATTCAATCTGGATCCTGGGAAAATAATCCCCAAAGAGAACTATATGTTGAAGCATGTGACATCGGGATTGGAGGAAGACTCACCAGAAACCTGTGATATGTAGATGATATTACCTTGCTTGCTGAAAGTGAAGAGGACTTGTAGTATTAGACTTTAACATAAAGAAAACAAAAGCCCTCACAACTGGGCCAATAGGCAGCATCATGATAAATGGAGAAAAGATTGCAATTATCACTGATTTAATTTTCATTATATACACAACTAACATGTAGGGAAGCAGCAGTAAAGAAATCAAAGGATGTATTGCAGTAGGAAAATCTAATGCTAAGAATGTCATTAAAGTGCTAAAGAGCAAGAATATCAGTTTAAAGATTAAGTGTGCTGATCCAACCCATGATAATATCCATCGTTTCATACATGTGAAAGTTAGTTAATGAATAAGGAAGATAGAAGAAGAATTGATGCCTTTAAATTGTGTTGGCCAAGAGTACTGGATATACTATAGATTGCAAAAAGAACAAACAAATCTCTTGTGGAAGAACTGTAGCCAGAGGGCTCCTTGGAGTCCACACAGAGAAGCTTCTCTCACGCACTATTTTCATGCTGAAGGTAGGGGATAGTCTCTGAAAAACAACATCATGGTTGTTGTTTTGTTGTTACGTGCCGTCGAGTCGCTTGCGACTCATAGTAATCCTATGTACAACAGCCCTAAACTCCGCTCTGTCCTGTGCCAATCGCACTGTCTCTGACACTCCCATCCCAATTATCCGTCACTGAATCAATCCACCTCATAGAGGGCCTTCCTCTCCTGTGCTGTCCCTCCACCCTCCCAAGCATGATGTCCCTCTCCAAGGACCGGTCTCTCCTCACAAGTCCAAAGTATGTTAGACGGAGCCTCAGAATCCTTGCCTCCAATGAGCCACCTGGTTTAACCCTTTCCAGGACAAATCTGTTGGTTTTCCTAGCAGTCCATGGTATTCTCAATACTCTTCTCCAGCACCACAGCTCAAAGGCATCAATTCTCCTTCTATCCTCCTTGGTCATTGTCCAGCTCTCTGATGCATAACAAGTGATTGCGAAGACCATGGCCTGTATCAGACGCACCTTAGTCTCCAGAGAGACACCATTGCTCTTCAGTACTTTGGAGAGGTCCCTAACAGCAGACTTTTCCATGGCAATGCGCCTTTTAGTTTCCTGGCTGCTGGTGCCAAGACTATTGACTGTGTAGCCAAGCAAACTAAAGCTGTGTACAATCTCAATCTCTTCACCATCCATCCTATGACATCATGGTAGAAAAGCAAATTGTTGGGGAATGAGAAAATCTTCAGTGAAATGGATTGATATAGTCACTGTAACAATGGATTTAAGAACAGCAAAGATTAAAAAAAAACAGCAGAGATGATGGAGATGGTTTAAGATTGAGCAGAGTTTCCATCTGTTGCACATAAGTCATGCATGCAGGGAACCCATTAAACGGCACCTAACGTAACAGCATTCTTCTCATTACCATCAAGTTAAATTTCAACTCATTGTGATCCTCCCCCTCATGCTCTGAGGCTATAAAGCTTTAAAGGAGGAACTGGCCCAACTTTCTTTCCTTCTTTTCTCTCCCCCTCCTTCCATTCTCCCTCCCTTCTTTTTCTTTCATTTATCAAAGGATTTTTTTTACAAGAATCTCATTGGAACCTTCTGGCATTCCACCACACTTGGCATGTAGGAAAATGGAATATTGTTAAGAAAGAAATAGAACATATAAATATTGACATAGTAGGCACTGGGAAAATGAGATGGCTTGGCATGGATATTTTGAATCAGACAAGTATATGATCTACTACACCAGAAATGAAAAGCTGAGGAAAAAAGAGGTCACATTCATAGTTAAAAAGACCATTTCAAGATGCATTTTTAAATACAATGATGTGAGTGACAAGATAATATCATACACATACAAGGAACACTTGTTAACACCAGCATCATTCAAATACATGCACCAACAAAGAGACCCAAAGAGGAGGATATAGATGATTTCTACCAACTTGTGCAGTCGGAAATTGATCGAATATGCGACCAGGACAAACTAATAATAATGAGTGACAGGAATGCAAAAGTTGAGACCAAAGCAGAAGGATCAGTAGTCAGAAAAAATGGGCTTGGTGACAGATATGAGGCTGGAGATAAAATGTTAGAATTTTGTACAGTCACTGATTCATTCATTTATAAGAAACATAAAAGGCAACTATACACATGGACCTCACATGATGGTGAATCATGCAGAGGAATCATATTTATTACATCTGTGAAAAGAATCACTGGAGAAGCTCAATATCAGCTGTTAATACAAGGGCAGCTGTTAATACAAGGGCAGGTGCTGACTGTCCAGCATCATCCATCAACTACTCACATGCAACTTCAAACTGAAACCAAAGAAAATAAATTCACAGGAACCAAAATTTTACCTCAAGTCTATCCCACTTAATTTTAAAAATCTATCTCAGGAACAGGTTTGAGGACTTGAACACTAATGAGAGAAGACCAGATGAGCTATAGGAACTTATCAAGAATATTGTCCACAAAAAATGAAAAAGATCATTACAAAAGAGGAAGAAAAGACTGAGATGGATGTTGGAAGAGACCTGGAATATTACCCTAGAGTGCTGAGAAGTCAAAGCAAAATGAAGAAATCAGGAAGTTAAAGAGCTGACAAGATTTCAAAGGGCAGCTTGGGGGAAAAAAGCAAAGTGCAAAGTTGGTTTGGTTTTTGTGTATATGTGTGCAAAGCTCCTTGAAATGTGCAAAGAACTGGAGTTGGAAAATAAAAAGGGACAAACTCGCTTGGCATTTCTTAAGCTGAAGGAACTAAAGAACAAATTCAAGCCTAGAGTTGCAGTATTTAATTCTGCTATGGGGAGAATGTTGAATGATCCAGGAAGCATCAAAAGAAAATGGAAGGAGTATACAGAGTCACTATAACAAAAGGAGTTGTCTGACTCAGAAGAATTTTATGAAACATCTTATGTTTAAGAGGTAATGGTGATAAAGGAAGAAGTTCAAACTGCTCTGAAGGAATTGGGAAAAAAACAAGGCCCCAGGGAATTGATGACATACCAAATATTTCAACAAACATACAGCCCTGGAGGTACTCACCAGCTTTTGTGAAGAAATATGGAGGACAAACCCTTGGCTAACTGATTAGAAGAGATTTATATTTATTTCCATTAAAAAAATAATCTGACAGAGTGTAGAAATTATCAAACAACATCACTAATATCACATTCAAATAAAATTCTGCTGAAGATCATCCAATAACAACCAGAACAATACATTGACAGAGAAAAATAAGCTGGGTTCTGAAGAGAGATTGGCAGCAGGGACCTTATCTCAAATGTCAGATGGATCTTAGCTGAAAGCAGATGGTACCAGAGGAATGTCTATCTATGTTTTATTGACTATGCAAAGGCAGTTGACTGCGTGGATCACAACAAACTGTGGCTAACCTTGAGAAGAATGGGAATCCTAGGTCATCTAACTGTGCTCAAGAGAAACCTATACTTGGATCAAGAAGCAATTGTCAGAACAAAATAAGGAAACACTGCATGCATGGTTCAAAATTAGAAAAGGAGTGCATCAGGGATACATCCTGTCTCCATATCTTTTCAATCTATATGCAGAACAGATCATTTTTAAGCTGGACTTTATGAGGAGGAATGTGGCATCAGGATTGGAGGAAGACTCATCAACAACCTACATTAAGCAGATGACACAACCTTGCTTGCTGAAAGTGAGGAGGACCTGAAACACTTGCTGCAGAAGGTCAAGGACTGTAGTCTTCAATATGGATTCAAGCTCAACATCAAGAAAACAAAGATTCTCACCACTGGGCCTATTGGCAGCCCCATGATAGATGGAGAAGAGATTGATATTGTTAACCATTTCAGCTTGCTCGATTCCACAATCAACACTTGGCACTAGCAGTCTGCAAATCAAAAGACAAAATGCATTAGGAAAATCTGCGGTTGGGGACCTCTCCAGAGCGCTGAAGAGTAACAATATCAGTCTAGAGACTAAGGTGTGCCTGATACAGGCCACGAAATTCACAATTACTTGCTATATATCAGAGCGCTGGACAATGACCAAAGATGACATAAGAATTGGTGCCTTTGAGTTGTGATGCTGGAGAAGAGTATTGAAACATTCCATAGACTGCCAAGAAAACAAACAAGTCTGTCCTAGAAAGATTGAAACAAACTGCTCCTTGGAGGCAAGGATTTTTGAAGGTCCGTCTCACGTAATTTGGGTATGTGTTGTCGGCGGAAGGAAAAGACAGAGCCGAGGACACACAGGAATGGGGATCAGGTCAGAAAGTGTGAAGACAAGGAGCTAAAAGCTGGGAGAACTGCAGCCCCTATGCTATGTCTTTCTGGGTTTTTATTGAGAATCATCAGGAATGTAAACCAAGGAAAATCACATGGAGTAGTAATAAAAACAAAGGATTGTGGGGAAGTCTTTTGTAAAAAAGTCAAGTTCATCTCTATGTTTACCTTATGCTTAGTTCAGGAGGGAGGGATTCAGTAAATACAAAGAAGGCCCAGGACTTGGGGGAAAAAAAGTCATCATGGAGGGACAGAGTAAGAGAGGAAGACCCTGCATGAGAAGCATTGACACAGTAACCAGCGTAATTGGGGTAGAGGTAGTGAGATTGGCTCAGGATAGAGCAGGGTTCAGAGTGCATAGGATTGCAATGAGTGAAGTTTACTCGACGGCACATAAAACCACCACGACATCGGAGGCCTGGAAGCCTCATCAGGTACCCAACGTTGAAAGAATAAAGTTCTATGTCTTGCAATCCAGAGCCCGTCATCATTTCTTCATCCCATAACTGCAGTTCAATGACTGCAAGTAAGGACGTGTTTGCTAAGGGGTTAACCTGGGAGAAAACCAGCGAGAGGAGTCTCCTAGAGGGCCCAGGAAGTTGAATCCATTTCAACCACGGCTTCCTGTGCCCTAGACCCAACTTCTGCGTGTGAGGGGTAGTCGCGCACACCTTCAGAGCATCATTTGTGCTGTTTTTTCCAATGTGGTGTGCAGAGAAGGCCACTGCAGAAACACAAACTAGGGAGAAATCAGTGCAGCACTGCCCTCGGGTGTGCTGGGTCCCTGGACACGCGAGAGGAAGGAGCTTGCGTTTTACGGGTTACTAGCAATTGCTCACCTTTCCGGAATCCAGCTAGGCCGTGACCCAGGATGGCAAGACAATCGAGAGAACGCGCAGCCCTGGACGCCCAGTCTACAGAGAACCAGATGGGGCTCCTGACCGTTAAGGTGGAGGAGGAGGAGCCTCCCACCTTTGCCGAAGAGATCCTTTTGCCCTGTAGCCCTGCACCCGGGTCGGAGCGCTCCCGCCAGCGCTTCCGGGGCTTCCGCTACGCAGAGGCTGCGGGGCCCCGAGAGGCGCTGAACCGCCTCCAGGACCTCTGCCGGCAGTGGCTGCGGCCTGAGATGCACAGCAAGGAGCAGATCCTGGATCTGCTGGTCCTGGAGCAGTTCCTGACCATTCTGCCGGGGGCGCTGCAGAGCTGGGTGCGGGAGCAGGATCCGGAGAGCGGGGAGGAGGTGGTGATTCTGTTGGAGTATTTGGAGAGACAACTGGAGGAGCCAAAGCCGCAGGTAGAGATTTTAAAGTTGTGGTTTCTTTCTCAAGACCGAGTTGGAAGGCATTATTCCTTTAGGTCTCGGGATTCTCCATCCTTTTCTGATCCTTCACCTCTTTGGCAATAAGATTAAGTCCCTGCACTCCTTCCGCAGTATAATGTTTGTAAATACTTAAAAGGTAAAGAAAGGATTACAAAGAAAAAAAAATATTCTGAAATACAGTTGAGAAAATAGGAAATGAATTTGTGGTAAACTTTTTTATTAATTCAGTATATAATACAATTCTGTTAATTTCAAGGTCAGTAGCATAACTTTAAGGATATTTGCTTGGTTGTCATAGATGTAAAAGCATCTGCAGTTTCTCTTGGTGATAGCCACACCACCAGAGTTTCTTGCTTGCATTCATAATTGAAGATAATGTTAAATTTCATTTAGTAGTGAAATGAGAAGTAAATTTTCCTTTCTAGATCATGAACCGTTTGGGAAGGATTCATTTTTTAACTTGTAGGAAGTTTCTTTTTACCAGCATCTTCCTGCCTGCTATATGACACTTTTCTCTTTGCATTTTCATGTGTCTTTTTACCAGCATCTTCCTGCCTGTTATCTGACACTTTTCTCTTTGCATTTTCATGTGTCTTTTTACCAGCATCTTCCTGCCTGTTATCTGACACTTTTCTCTTTGCATTTTCATGTGTCTTCATATGCATTCCTTTAGAGAATATGTGACCAGAATGAAGTCTCTAACCAGTGCCTAGGAGACCTGGCGTGGTTCTCTACTCGAGCCACTGTAACAGTGAAAAGTCTTTTCAAAATTTTTAATTTCAGGCTCTAGAATGTCACTCTAGATATTCTAAGCAGCACATAAACTAATGATTATGGAAATGAGTCAAAAACTGTAATTTAACTGTCTGCAAAGAAATAATGCATTTACTGAAGGTTACCATGTACCAGGTCTTGTATTAGGTAATTTCACATAATGTGGTTTTATTTACTGGTCTCCCAAACTTATACGCTGGAAGTTTTTATCCTCATCTTTTTTTCAGATCAGAAAAGATATTAAGATTCTCGAAGAATTTAACTCCATTTCCAAAAGGATTTTCATAGAAGTGGGTAAGGAGTTGCCCTGCCAATGCAAAGGCAGGTGGTTCAAATCCACCAGCTGCTCCAAGGGAGAAAGATGGGCAGTCTCCTCCCATGAGATTTAAAGCCTTTGAAAACCTGCTGGAGGATCAGCTATGAGTTGGTTTGGACTCGATAGCACTTAACAACAACAACCAATATATAAGTAATAAAAAAGAACTTAGAGTAATAGTTAAGAGCCTAGAGTCTAATTCTGTTAAAGCTCTCATTGTAGCATTGTTATTTACTAGCTGGGCGATCTTGGCCAAGCTTAGAATTTCTGATTCTCAGATTCCTTTTCAGTAAAAAGACTATAATAGTTTTTACCTTATAGGATTGTTGTTGTATTAAATTAATTGATATATAGAGAGCTATTTGATGTTGTACCTGGAAAATAGAGAAAGGAGCATAGGAAAGGAGCCCTGGTGTTGTAATGTGTTACATGTTAGTAGGCTGCTAACAAGAGAGTAGGCAGTTCAAATCTACCATCTGCTTCTTGGGAGAATGATGAGGCTGTCTCCTCCTGTTAAAGTTTATCCCCTTAGAAACTTGATGGATGTTCCCCTGAGTTGGAATTCACTCAGTAGCTGTGGGTGGGTAAGCACATTGGAAGCATGATAGATGTATTTGTTGAACAAATAAAAACAAATCCATTACCTCCAGGTCACAGATTAATTACTTACAGGTCACAACTAGCAACCCTGGGCGAGAGTTGCTCAATCGTAAAACAGCAAGGTTGACAAGAGCCCGTGGATCACAAAGTAGCCAATTCCAGCCAGTGAAGGTTCTGCCCAAGCATGAATCTCTGGGATTTAAGCCCTCACAAGGCAGAGGTGAGGATTATTTTTTGGTCAGTATGTATGCTATAGACTTCATCCAGTTTCACAAAAGAGTCACATAAAATATCTGTTGACAGTTACCTATCAGCACAGACTAATTTTGTTTTGAACTAAAACCCAACTTTGAAACACAATGATGGAAAGTTTTCATAAGAAAATTATATATAGTAAATAAAATTTTACTAAAATTGTGTTTGTAAAGAATTGAATTTTGTTTGTTTGTTTGTGGGGTTGTTTGATTTTTTTTTTTTTTTTAGTTTTGTTTTTTTAAAGAACACAGTGGTCTCCAAATCATTTGACACGTTAATGGAGTGCTACCAATGTGGTAGCCAGTGTTTGGCGTCCAGGATAGATCCTTGCTCTGATGGAGCTTACATTTAGTAGGGAAGACTAATATCATAGATAGTGCTAAGTGCCATGAAGAAATGAGGCAGAAGTAAAGCCAGAATAGTCCAGAAATCAATTACAGGACTATTTCAAACCAAAGAATAGACCCCTAAGTCTGTTACTAGAACATCATGAAAATTACTTCATAGGAAACTATGTCATGGTTTCCCCTCATGTGCTGTGAAGTTTCTCAAGACATACAACATTAGAACATTCCAGCCAATAGATATTATAGCCCAAATCAACTTGGGTTTTTTTGCTTTGAAAAATTCACTTCCTATAGGGAAACTGAAATTCTTTCTCTCTCTTGAATCTCTCTTGCAAGTTCTTTGCAAGAGAACTCCTGTTTCCTCCTTTCTGACCCCAGCCTTGTTGGATTCCTCTTAGTTTTGCAAAATCAAAGTAGAAAGCACCCTAAGAACTACTAATGCCATTGTAACAACAACAACAAATCCCATTTTATCTCCCTATCCCAGCAAAATTAAAAGCAAAAATTACTTTTCAAAATAACCTTGCCTTCATTTCCTATTCCTCTCAAGGATCCTGACTGGTTTTTGTCTCTAAAGGCACATACTAGCTTTCTTTATAAACACTAGGATTATAGTTGATAGAGATGAGGCATTTTGGAAAGGAACATTCACTCTGTGAGTTTGTTTGACAGAAGGTTACTAGTCCAGTTTTTAAAGTTGAATTCTACAAGATGGACAAACTGAATGCCAGAGTAGATCTCATCTATGGCTTCTTGCCTTTTTAGTTCTTCAGGTTTCCGATTTTGCCCAGGGCGGAAGCTGCAGAGAAGACACAGCAGTAACTGCCAGGCTCATCCCAGAGTCCCAGGTAAGCTAGAGACCCCCCCTCTTTCCCCAACACTTTTCACTATTGTTGAGCTTCCCACAAAAGCCCCTCCCTTCCTTCCCCACTGTGCCTACACCAATCTTATGTCCATAAGGAATTTGAGGGTTTTTTAATTAATTCTAAGGATTTTGGTTTTGAGGTTTGTTTTCCTTTTTTATCATTATCTTCCTTCATTTTAGTGCCCACATGAGTGACATTTCCTGTTTTATTACTAGACTGTGGGGTTTTCTGTGCTTCTCAGATGTTCCCTCTTCAGTTGGGCAGTTCAACAGAAGGAAACTGAGTATTTTAATGTGCGGGTACTTTTGTTTTAAAGTATCATAAACTACTAGTCAATGATATAAAGACATGGGCTCTGCCTTCAGAGAACTTATTCGTGAAGGGACACTTATGTTATTTATGACTCATTTCAGCAATCTTTTCTTACCTAAATTTTTGTTTCTTACACACATTTCCATGTTGTAGTTGAATATCTTTGTGTCTGTACCAAGTACTATTTTTTCAATTTTTGTTACCTACAACCTAGATTTTATTGTATTTAAAAAATCATTAATGTGAGTCCCTACCCCTATTATGGCAAAAATACACAAGTCTTATGAAAGTCCATACCTTTGTTGTGTTGACCTATATTTTCCAAATCTTTTCACTTGCTGGACTTTATGTAAAAATATCTATTCTAATTGTTTTAACATTTTCTTTTTAGTGGTTGGGGGTGTGTGTATGTGACTAAAGATTTGATTAAGTAGGTGTAGTCTCATGTGCTCTTTTTACAGAGCTTCTTTAAGTCAGATGTTCATTCTTTGCATGTGCCTCTCAAAACGTTGCCTAGCTTAAGAGAGTTACCTAGAAGGGAGCTCTGGTGGCCTAGTGGCAAGAAGCTGCACTGCAATCACAGAGATACATGGTTCGAATCCACCAGATGCTTTGCTGGAGAAGGAGGGGCAAACTCCTCCTGTACCAGTCAGATCCAATTTGACGGTACACACACACACAAAAATAATAAGATAAAAAGAAATACATTAAAAAAAAAAGGAGTTACCTAGGGCAAGAGGAAGTAGGAATTAAGGATTGCCTATTGTTGTAGGGGGCTTTTATGGCTTAATGGTAAGGAGTTGTGCTATCAACCCAAAGACAAGTGCTTTGAAACCACTACTAGCTGCTCTGAAGGAAAAAGATGGGCAGTCACCTCTCATGTGATTAACTGCTCTGAAAACCTGTTGAAGGATCAACTATGAAGCAATTTTGACCCAACGGTACATAACACCAACAACACTATTTTAGGGGGTGCTGCAAGTAGAAGATGTGACTATGACCGTTTCCCCTGGTTGGACACAGCTGGACCCATCTCAGGTGAACCTCTACAGAGACAAGAGGCAGGAGACCTGTGACAGCCTCATTTCCCTGGGTAAGACATTTGACACTCATTTCTCTTAAGTTTTCCTGGCTACCTTTTTTTAAATTGGCATCTACTGGGTTATTAGAAAGCTTTGGAGCCTTTAGACTTCTGAACTCTGCTGCTAACTGACCAGTTTTTTTTACTACAGGCATACCTCATTTTATTATACTTCACTTTTTTGTTCTTCACAAATGCTACCTTTTTCACAGATTAGAAATTTGTGGAAACCTTACATTGAACAACTCTGTGGGCATCATTTTACAAATAGCTTATGCTCACTTTGTTTTCCTGTGTCATATTTTGTTCATTCTCACAATATTGTAAAATTTTTCATAATGCTATTTAGCATGCTTAATACAATGCAATATAATTTAAACCTTCATTGCACTTGGAAACAACAGCAAAAAATTATGTGACTTATTTATTGTGATATTTGCATAATTGCCATGGTCTAGAACCAAATCCACAATGTCTCTGAAGTATGCCTGTAGTTCTTTTCCTTAACCCTTCTGTGCCTTGCTTTTTTTATCTGGCCTGTGAGTTCTCCAGTCATATTAAGTAGGACAAAGTTGATAGAGCATTTAGTATAGACCTGGCTCCTAATAAATGCTCAGTACACACTTCTTTTTCTTCCCTTTTTGGAGCCTGACAGGAAGAAGGCTGAAGGATTTCTTTAAAAATGGGGCAGGAGACCCTGGAATGTGAGAGCTAGAGTGACCTGTCTGAGTTACACAACTCATTGTTGGAACAGCAGGGGCTCCATCTCAGATCTAGCACCAAATCAGATCTGTTTGGCAGGTTCAGAAGTAACTTCTGTTTCCTTAGTCCAGTGACCAGTTAGAATCCCCTCCTTCCTTTTTTCTGTGGATTGCTTCAGAAACCCTTTCACTTGCTGGTGTTTGCTGTGGCCTCTGCTTACCCCTTTAAGTCTCTACTCCCATTCTAAGGTCTCCCTCCTCCCCAGCATTCCTGATTTACCCTTTATGGCCATCCTCGTTTTTATGCTTGAGTCCTCATACCTGGCATATACAGCCCCTGGAAGGCTTGCCTCCCTGGTTTTCACTTGGTGACAGGGCCTAATTGACAGTCCCCAGGCATTTGTTGTTTCAGGTGGTGAAATCTGCACTAAGATCAGGGACTTGTCTCCTGATGAGGAACTTCTGGTACAAGAGCCCGGGGATTTCTCATACCACTTGAGTGAAGGCATTGCCCAGATTCCTCCATGTGCAGAAGCGGATGAGCATGAGGGCTGGTTACACAGACCACAGAATAACTTCATAGGAAGCAGGCGGCACTGTTGCCGAGAATGTGGAAAGAATTTTGCTCAGAGTTCAGGCCTGACTAAACACAGGAGAATCCACACTGGGGAGAAGCCCTATGAATGTGAAGACTGTGGTAAGACTTTCATCGGAAGCTCTGCCCTTGTCATTCACCAGAGAGTCCACACTGGTGAGAAGCCATATGAGTGTGAAGAATGTGGCAAGGTCTTCAGTCACAGTTCAAACCTTATCAAACACCAGAGAACCCACACTGGGGAGAAACCCTATGAGTGTGACCACTGTGGCAAGTCATTCAGCCAGAGCTGCAGCCTCCTTGAACATCATAAAATCCACACTGGGGAGAAGCCCTACCATTGCAACATGTGTGGCAAAGCCTTTAGAAGGAATTCACATCTTCTGAGACATCAGAGGGTCCATGCTGGGAATAAAAACACTCAAGATAATGGCAATGGTGAGACCTGGGAAGGTCCAGGTAGAATGGAGAGCCAGTGGGAAAATGAAGCTGCTTCATCTTTCAAATGTAATGAGTGTGACAGAAGTTTCACTCAGAACAGAAGCCTTACTGAACATAAAAAAATTCACACTGGTGAGAAACCCTATCAGTGTGATGCATGTGGAAAAGGCTTCACCCGCACTTCATACCTTGTTCAACACCAAAGAAGCCATGTTGGGAAAAGAATTCTATCACAGTGACATGCCAAAGGTGGTATGCATTCTCCATTTAGTTGAAGCCACCTCGAAACTATAAAAACTGTTGTGGGGCTTTTATATACCACTAAATAACATCAGATAGTAGAAAATATATATCTCCACTGAGATTATCTTCCAGATTCTAGAAGGTGACTGGAAAACAGCTGGTGTGATAGGATTCTGGAACACTTGAGAGGAAGCAGTTGGACCTAAAATGATATGTGCTTACTCATTGAACTTAAATGGGCTTCCAGATTGGCTACTCACCCTGAGCCAGCACTTTGTCACATCTGGGGGGACAGCTGTGATTATAGGGGCTATTCCTCTGAACATTCATTTTGCCCATAGTGAATATGGGTAATATTCCTTGGTCAGATTCCTAAGGTCTTAATCCCCCCCACCGTGCCTTGCTCATAGGTGCTAATAAATATTTATTCAGTGTGCCAGTGAGACTACCATTACAGTTCTGAAAATATGATGCTTATGTAAATATCTGAGAAATGTCTGTTCAAATCCATCTGTATTTATGTTTAACTCTGTCCAGATTTCTTCATATTTGAGTAGAAGTTGCCAAGTATAAAGCATTGGCGAGATTGGGGTAAGAAGTCCCTATTTCTTCCTCATCATAATATCTATGGTAAAAATGCCTTAAATAGGTTTGTATCATGAGGAGCTTTGTGACAGCTCTATCTATGGAACTTCATTCTATCAACATTAATTAATTCTCCTAAATATTGCTACTCTTTTAGGAAAAAAATGTTTCTCTTTCTGGCAAAGTAAAAATCAGTATCAAGTCAGACTGAAATGATTATTAATTTTTGTAAACGTCTGTACTGCTTTCTGGCACTGTAATGCTTAACAGGGTTGGTTTTTTGTGTGTTTTGTGGTGTGGTTTTTTTTTTGTTTTGTTTGTTTGTTTTGTGGTTTTTAAAATTCGTTTGTTTTTTCTTTCTCATTTCTTAGATATATTGGATTTAACCAAGTGCCAAAACCCTTTTTCCTCTCTCTTACCTTGTAACAGATTGAAGATGTAAGCTCAGACTTCTCTAGGTCAAAAGGATGCACACATATATTTATAACAAGTATCATTCATGGTTTTAAAACTTCTTATGAGTGGGGATAGAAAGATAGGCTTAGAAGTAGTTGGTTAGGGTAGAGCCCTAAGTGTGATTGTTGTTGTTATGTGCCGTCGAGTCGTTTCCGACTCATAGCGACCCTATGCACAACAGCCCTAAACCCTGCTCTATCCTGCGCCAACCGCACTGCCTCTGACACACCCATCCCGATTACCCCAGTCATCGAATCAATCCATCCCATAGAGGGTCTTCCCCTCCTGCGCTGTCCCTCCACCCTCCCAAGCATGATGTCCCTCTCCAAGGACCCGTCCCTCCTGGCAACATGTCCAAAGTATGTCAGACGAAGCCCCAGAATCCTTGCCTCCAAGGAGTAGCTTGGTTTAATCCTCTCCAAGATGAGTCTGTTTGTTTTCCTGGCAGTCCATGGTACATTCAGTACCCTTCTCCAGCACCACAGCTCAAAAGCATCCACTCTCCTTCTGTCCTCCCTAGTCATTGTCTAACTCTCTGATGCATAACAAGCAATTGCAAATACCATGGCCTGTATCAGGCGCACCTTAGTCTCCAGAGAGACACTGTTGCTCCTGAATACCTTTGAGAGGTCCCTAAAAGCAGACTTTCCCATCACGATACGCTTTTTGATTTCCTGACTGCTGGTGCCAAGAGTGTTGACTGTGGAGCTGAGCAAACTGAAGCTGTGAACACTCTCAATCTCTTCGTCATCCATCCTGACGCTGCTAATTGGTCCAGTGGCAATAATCTTTGCCTTCTTGACATTGAGCCTTAGTCCATACTAAAGGCTGCAGTCCTTGACCCTTCGCAGCAAGTGCATGAGGTCCTCCTCAGTTTCAGCAAGCAGGGTTGTGTCATCTGCATAACGCAGACTGTTAATAGATCTTCCACCAATCCTGATGCCACAATTCCCCTCATAGAGCCCAGCCTCTCGGATAATCTGCTCTGCATACATGTTGAAAAGGTATGGAGACAGGATGCATCCCTGGCGTACACCCTTCCCAATTTTGAACCATGCAGTGTTACCTTGCTCTGTTCTGACTACTGCCTCTTGGTCCAAGTATAGGTTTCGTATTAGCACAATTAAATGTTCTGGGATTCCCATTCTTCTCAGAGTCAGCCACAGTTTGTTATGATCCACACAGTCAAATGCCTTTGCATAATCAATGAAACACAGATAGACATTCTTCTGGTATTCTCTGCTTTCAGCCAAGCTCCATCTAACATCAGCAGCAATATCCCTAGTACCACGACCCCTTCTAAACCCAGACTGGACTTCCGGCAGTTCTCTGCTGATGTGCTGTTCTAATCGTTTTTGGATGATCTTCAGTAGAATCTTGCTTGCATGTGAAATCAATGACACTGTTCTATAGTTTCCACACTCAGTTGGGTCACCTTTCTTTGGAATGGGAACAAATATAGATCTCCTCCAGTCAGTTGGCCAAGTGGTTGTTCTCCAGATTTCTTGGCACAACTTGGTGAGCACATCCAGGGCAACATCTGTTATCTGAAATACTTCAATTGGTATACCATCTATTCCTGGGGCCTTATTTTTTGCTATTTCCTTCAAAGCAGCTTGAACTTCTTCCTTCATCACCATAGGCTCTTGCTCATATGTTATTTCTTTAAATTCCTCTGTATTTGCCAATTCCTTTCTATATAATGACTCTGTATATTCCTTCCATCTTCTTTTAATACTTCCTGGATCATTTAATAAGTGTGATTAGTAGGAGAAAATATATCTGTTCAGAGACATACTGGAAATCCTGAGTGTCTGATTAAAGCATTCCATAGTAATCAAAGTATCAACATGTCAGATTATAAGCTTGATGCTATAATTTAACCTAAGAAATAAGAATTTTATTTTATCATCTATTTTCACCCATATCACCTACTACATCCATCTATGACATATATCTACTTCCTAGGTCTATGAGGGTATATCACCAGCTCCTAGCATTGGTATGCTGTACCATGAATGGCTTCTGTTTCGGATGGTATTTTGTTCAGTCACTACCCTAGTGTGTTTGCATATTGTTAAGCACCCTTTATGGGTTCTCCAGGCTAATTAGGGATAGTTTCCAAATGATCAACCTTTCCATTATTAAATTCCCAACCACCTTTCATTATCCTCTAACTCTAGCCCAATTTAAGCCATTTTTTTTCTTTGCAAAATTCTGTGCTTTCTCTGCTCAATCTTCCCTAGCCTTTTTCCTCTCACATTCACCTTTTTGTTATTCCCACAGAAGCTAGTTATTTCTCTTTCCTTTTCTTAGTCTTTATTTTTAAAATTATATTGAAAGCCCAAGAAAAATATTTGCATAATTATAGCTCTGATCATAATACCCTCAGACTCATTACAAACTAGTTCCTCTGTTCATTTTTCTTCTTTTAAATAAAGTATGGTAAAAGTCTTTTACAAACCAGGAGGCATTATAAACATTCATGAGAGTAAGGAAAATGTCTATTCCTCCTGTCACACTTTCTTTCTAAGCCAGAAGATCTCTGCATAGAAGAAAAATTTTGTTGAAAAATATGCTTGAGTGTTTACTATACAGGATGGGGAGCTCCATAAGGTGTTGTACTGGTAAACCAAAGGTAGTGCTTATGTGACTATTCAGATCCACCAACAGCCCCAAGGCAGGAAGAATGCCAATCTCATGCGACACACAGCTCAGAATCCTGACAGAAGGACGCTTCTAAGCCACTCAGACTCCATGGCACTTGGTGGGCAGTCCTTGAGAAAAGATATGCTGGGAGAAGTCGAGGAAAAGAGGAAGACCCTCAACAAGCTGGATTAATACAGTGACTGTAACAATGAGTATGTCAGACTGAGGATGGTACAGGTTAGGGGAAAGTTCCGATCTGTTCATTGGGTTGCTATGAGTTGTGGACTTGACGGCACATAACAAGAATAGGCAATGGGAGAGACAAAACATCTCTATTTGTAAATAAAATAGTTGAGTGTGTGTGTGTGTGTGTGTGTGTGTGTGTGTGTGTGTGTGTGTCTATATATACATATTCATGCTTGGGCTTTCAGTATATTTGGACATGAAAAGAGACTGCAATAATAAATATCTGTAATCAGTAAACTGAGGGCTACAGAAGTTCAGAGATGGGGGAAAATCACTTCTCCTGAGAGAATAATTATGATTTTATGATGTTAAGAATTAATTGCATCCCTTAAAATATATTTTACAAATATTAATTGCTATACTTGGAAGAGGGCACTCTGGTGCCCTAGTGGCAAAGACACACAGTATAGCAATTAGTAAACCCGCCAGAGGGTCTGCTATGGGTCTGTTCAACAACATACTTGGAAGGGTAGAAGGTCAGTACAAGAGAAGAAAACCCTAGGGGAGATGGATTGACACACTGACTGGTAGTAGGGTCAGGTGTATTGGAGATGGCACAGTTGGATCCAAGCATTAGGATTGCTATGAGTGGTAGTTGACAGCACATTATAACAACATACTAGGGGTATAATTTCATTTGGGGATAGAGTTTTATTTACTGTTTATAAGATCATACTAGTTTAACCTATCTTTTGAGCCATGACCTTCAGGATACAAAATGAGCAGATTAGGCACAGAAGAGCAAATAGAGATGGAGGAATGAAATGAAGATTGCCAAGAAACAAGCTGAGAGCATACACAAGGAGAAAGCCTTCTTCTAGAGCCCGAATCTTGAATTTGGATGTGTAGCCTCCAAAACAGATAAATTTCCATTTATGTGTTTTTGTTATGGGAGCACTAGATAACTAAGAAATATGGATAGAGTGACTTTTCAAGAGCTAAAAAGACTTGGCACATTTTGTCAAAGTTAAGTAAGACAAATTTGAAGAAGGTGTATCATAGGGACCATCAGTGCCAGAGCAAGGAGTAGAAATTTATTCAGTAAAGATGGAGGTCACTG